ATATTTAAAGACCAGTTATCTATCAAAAGGGAGACTGTCTGTGCTTTCATTCACTGATCAGTTATTTAACCAAATCTCTGCACAGCAGGCTCATGTTAAGTATAATAATAACACAACTGTTTAGAGAAAATGGAGTCTTTGAGGCCACATTAGTGGTCAGATAAAGGTCAGAGCTGAAGCAGATATATCAAACCAAATACTTGCAGATTTTAAAATGTTTTTTTTTTCTTTCTTTTTATTTATAATATTTTTGTACAAGCTATTTTATCTCAAAGAAGGTTTAAAATAAATATATTTTGATTGATTTATTTATTTTTTTAAAGCTACTGCTCTTAAACATTTAACCTGACTTCCTCATCCCATCCGGATGAAGCAGCATGTAAATAATCCTCACTGAGTTAAAGAATTTGGTATCACTGCTTTGTTCCCATGTGGCATTTCACCTTATGGACCAGTAACCTTGTTTGGTGATCTGTGAACATCATCATCATTCATCAGAAACTTTTAGCTGCATTTTCAATTGAGTTGCAATCGGTTTATTGTTTCTTTGAAGTTTTCTATTTATTTGTGGGTTCAAACATAGAGCAGAATTTTACTGTTGTGATTCACATCTGAAAGGGAAAAGTTGTTAAGCTGATGAAATATTCCCTTTAACCATCAAAGCGCATGTGCAAATTATTAGGATAAATCATTTTCATACTGTCAGACCAGCTAAGGCGTCATGCTACAGCTGCTGAAAAGTGTTTTGCGTTAACAATATTAGTTTTTAACCACTGTCCTGTTTGCAATGCAAATAAATGACTGTGAGGAAGTGTGCTGTAATTCCCAATGGGATTTGCCTGTCAGTTTAACATTTTATTTTGAGACGACTTTCTCTGCGGAAAAACTTTTACAAACCTGAGTTTACTGTCATTGAATCAAACCAGAGATATTAAAATCAGCTTTTAAATTTGTTGTTTTTTATTTATTTTTAATGTTCTACATTTGCACTACACACCAGCATTTAGTACTATTACAGACAGTCAATACATCTCTTCACTTTTAAGTACACATTGTTCTAAATTTAGCTTGACAGTTTTTTATATGGTTAATTATATTAACATTTACTACTTTCTAATAATAACTATAGCATCATATACTACAGTGAAGTAACTGATTAAGAAGTGTGATGTTTTGTGGTTGGGATCATTTGCTTTTCTCTCAATAGGACACCTGCAGTATATTCTCGTGGGACCGTTTATCACAGTTTATCATTGTTCCTCAGTCTAATCATATGTTATGGTGTGATAACTGTATGCTCTGCTTGGTAGACACAATTTCTTTCATCTTCTTTCCTCCCTCCAGAAATGCATATACAGAGTTACTCTATAATCAGACCTGTTGTATGGCTTCTGGTCAGATACAGCTACAACCTGCAGCCATTCACAGACAGATCATTTGCAGCATTATTGAGACTGTTGCATTTATCTTGCATGCTGGGGTTGCTGGAACACTCTGCATCTGAAGGCCAGCGCTCCACCCATGTGTCTTTCCCCAACATGTAGATAAACCTGGGCAAAAATACAAAAACACATTGAAAGGCAAAACTGGTTATTATCCATTATACATGTTAATCGATGTTACTTAAACCTGGTGTTCTTAATTTTATTTCTATTTACCACTCTAGAAGCAATTATAATTGAACATGTGATCATTTAGAGAACTGCTGATGAATCTGTATTGTGTTTGCATCTATATTTACAAACAGGAATGTGTTTAACAGCTGCTTAGAGCAAAGTGCATTTGAGGTTGGATTTCTACCATATATAACAACTCAACCCCCCCAAAAAATTTCACAAATCATATCGATGGTTTTAGTGTACCACATAGTGAAGGAATGTTCACTTTATTCAAAATATCTGGCTTATTTGGCTTGGCTCCATTTGAAGAGTCCGCCTCCATCACCCAGAGCATTTTATTTTAACCCCATCAAACACATATGAATTCCTTTGCACTGCTATGCTGTTCTGTACATAAAGCCCTACTTGTTAAGCATTTTCCCTTTTGCTATAATAAATACACAATTTAGAGGATTTGACTGTCTCCTCTCTGAAGGTACGTACCACTTCACTCACTGTTTTTAGAGATCTGTCTTCCTTTATCATATTATCATCTAGGTGTGTATATTTGTGTGATTCTTTGATATTCTTTTAGAAAGAACTTGAACGGATCATTGCTAAGGCCAATTTCCTTTACTACGTATATATGCTCCCAACTGGTAGAATTGTTAGGCAGCATGTGATTCATTTCCTCTGTTATGCTGATGATTCGCAGCTACAATCCAAATGAAACCAACCCATTACATAGACTGCAGAAAAATCTTACAGACATAAAAACCTGAATAACTAAACTTTCTAATTTTGAATGCTAAACAGAAGTTATGTCTTTGGACCAGAGTCTTTGAAAAGGAAGCTGATTAGCTTGATTAAATTGATCTCAGATAATAAAGTAATGCATCTTGGTGTTAATTTTGGGCAGGATTTAAATTCCATTTCAAATAGGTTTCAAGAGTTTCCTTCTTTTATTTCCAGAATATCTCAAAAATTAGAAATATTCTGTCCAGGGGTGATGCTGCGAAACTAGTCCATGCATTTGTTACTTCAAGGCTGGACTTTTGTAATTCTTTACTATCAGGAAGTCCACTAACTGTAGTTAAAAGCCTTCAGCTGATCCAAAATGCTGCAGCCAGAGTTCTGATGAAAATAGTTTTGAAAATATAGTGATTCCTAGAAGTTCTAAAAGTAGAATGGGAGGCAGATCTTTTAATAATAGGGTCCTCTCCTGTGGAACCAACTACCAGTTTTAGTCCGTGAGGCAGACACCCTGTCTACTTT